TTATACAGTTTTAGTTGGTTATTGTTTTCTTGTTTTATTACAGTTTTTATTTATTTTAGTTAACTAAAATGTTTTTTCAATTTCAAATTTTGTTATTTAGTTAACTATAATAACTCTGGCTATTACCACATTAATTAATATCTGTTAAATGGGTAAACATGCAGCATTTGTATGTGTTAGCTAATGTTGATTGGCAGTGGCAGCCACCTACAAGTGGGTTGACTTCAAAGATTAATACCCGCTAATTCCAGAACAGATTATTTTATTAGCTTTCTTGCAGCAGACTGCAGTAATCCTGTCGATCCGTTAACTAAATTGACTTCAACCATTTTACCAAACCTCATGTTTGTTTTGCCATGACCACATATGGTGTCACTCTGCCAGGATGTCCAGGTGTCTGGTGTAATGTGCCATTGGCTTCGTGGCCAACACATCACCAGCATCAAGGCGGTGGCGTGGATGATTACCCTCAGCGACGCGCTGCACAACTTCATCGACGGTCTGGCCATCGGWGCGTCGTTCACCGTGTCCATACTGACCGGGTTCAGCACGTCCACCGCCATTGTCTGTGAGGGGTTCCCCCATAAGCTGGGTTAGTGAGGCTATCTGAGACTTAATCTACTAGTTCAGAGTTTTGTGAGTTCATCTAATGGAATATTTAGAGCCCAGTACCATACAATTTGTTTGCAACACAGAGCTGTAATATGTTCTCCTTCACCCACYCAGAAACAGACAATAGTTCTTGTTGTAACACTTTATTTACCTGATCCAAACTGTCAGAAGATATATAAATTGTTTTATCATCTGCATACACAATTGTTGAAGTATTCTCTAATGTCATTCACAAAAAGGAAAGGACCCAGTCAYCTGCCCTGTTGAATTCCACATGAAAGGGTTTCAGCATTTGAACAAAACCATTAAACATTGTTTCTTATTACTGAAATAACTATGAAAACATAAATAGWTGATTTTTAAAAGCCATGGGCTGATAAAATCAAAAGTAAAAGTTCATGATCAACAAGTTTCAACCCAAAAATAATGTGATTTTATGATTGCAAACTAAAAGTGGTGCAGCTAAACTCGCACTAAAGACTTCATGGCATTTGAGAAGTTGGTGTTTCAGAGCCCAGTAGAATTAAATTACCCATCAAGCTGTTGCAGGACACTTAAAAAGCACCTCTGTGTTGATGGCTCTTTCTTGTAAATGTAATGGAATGCACTCTTTTGCACTTTGGTCTGTAAAAGTATGCCAAAACGTGTGTTCAGAGTCAAGGCTGCTTTTTATTATTCATTATTCTTAAGTTATTTCGCTGTCAAATGGCAAAACCTTGGAAACTTATTTTTTGCAAATGCATGTTTAAGTAGTATTAAAATTGAACACCTCCACTTTTTTTTTTAGCAAAGTGGCTTTAAAAACAGAAAATGCACAACCAGATAAAGTATTTTTTCAGAGAAAAGAAATTTTAAAAAGTCCCAAAGTCTAAATGTATCGTTAAGTTTTAAACACTGCTAAGATTTTTAGGGCAACCACTTTTATTTACATCCTGATGACAGTGCTGTAGTTACTGCAAAACCAGGCGAGCAGCCATGCGTGAAGTACTTTTAATCCCTTTAGCCTGTGTTGAAAACATTTTRAATGTGAGACATAAATGATCAGACTCTCTCAGTGTTCTTCATTATAATAGTTTAACCTTCTGGAAAAAAAAATTCTTAGGCTGATCCGTAAAAAATAGAGATGTAAATCATCCATCCCCACTCAACAAAATAAAAAAGAAGGACTGAGAAAACTCAAAGTATTTTGCACCTCCATACATGTACAGAAAAAAATGCAGAAGTTAAAGCCGCAACTTTGTCAGGTCAGGATTAGTGAACATTCTCTACAGCAGAATGAAACAGGATTTGTATACTCTGACAATCTGTTTATTCTCCTAGGCGTCTGGAAAATGATAGCTGATTTGAGAAAACTAAAACTGCTGCTGCGTGCTGTGAAATTTTTTTAAAGAAGAACCGTGCACATAGCTTTTGCATCACTCATTCAGCTATAAATTACCTAAAGTGTTTTAATGTTACTCGGAAAGAAGAAGTCAGTGGAATTTAAAACACACATTATTCACCAGATATGTTCAGGCTTACAGTAACAGAAGTGTGTTTCACGTAAACAAAAGGATGACAAACACTTGTGTCTCCATGAAAATATTTAAAGGTTATTTTTCATTAAAAACAAACCAAATGGGGAAAAAAAATAAACTTCTCTTCAACTTTAACTTTCTAGAATAAAGTTTAACAAATACGAAAAGTGGAAATATTGGCACTTTAGACCTAAAATCCTAAGAAATTTAATAAATAAACGTCACTTCAGCTGTTTTTTTTTTAACTTTAGCTATTTTTAAAGATTTTTTAAAAATTGAACATGAGGAATAAGATGCATTTTAAGGAAACAGCCTCTGCAGACCTTGATGGCTTACAGCCGTGGAGGCCTACTAATTAAGCATTCCTTAGGTTCAGCTGTGTTGAACCCAGGCAGCACCTAAAACATGCACCATTGTAGTACAAAACGTAAATTTTTATTTGGTAGATTATTTGTTTTGTTGTAACAAAGCTGGAAAGCTAGCCTGGTAAAAACTATCCTCTTGTTCTTCGCTTTGCTTCCTACAGAGGGTCTGAACTCTCGGCTATTGTGAAGGAATAGCTTGCTGGAGGYATGGACTGTTGAAGTTTAAAACAATTGGGTATGATTTACCTAATCACTAAAGTTTGTCCGTGACGTATGTAGTGAAGGAGGCTAAGCTAAGAAGCCAACCGGAAGTTGCGTGTGCTGTAAACAACTATCCTCTACTGGGAGGAGAGAAGTATTGAGCTGAACGAGATGGCTATAGGAAATAAAAAAGTCCTGCAGGTTTTGTGAGACAAATTTAATTTAATTTGGAAGCCTTGTCAACACGGACTGGCTTCATTCACTTCCTCCACTGCCATTGCTAGGCAGACTAAAACAGTGCAGAAAAACATTGTTATTCACAACTCCTTGTCTAGTTGAAATTCTACTGGAAAAATCCTTGTCTATGGGAGAAATCTCAGACGGAGCAGAGAAGGGAAGGCAAGGGCCAGGCTGTGCTGGAAAGCCTGTTAATTTTCATTTTAAATGTGTCACATTTGTAAGGAACGAGCATTTGTGGTATGATCAGTTGAGCTGAGTATGTGGGTTGTGCGCATGAAAAACGTCCATATCTTTTCTGCCAAACAGCTTGTTTTGCCATTGCTATTGACACTTGTTTTGAGCTTCTACCCCCAGATGCTGTCAATCAGGTGCCTATAAGATTTATTGTCAAGAAGGATTGTTACAATAAAGAAATAATCTACCAAACACTAATTTTCTTACTTTTTGTGCCAAGAATTTGACACATTATAAGGTTTATTTTTTATTTTTTTCTATGTACATTCGTAAATTAGGGTTAACCCTGAAACATTATTTTCGATGAGATATTACTGATAGGCAAAAGGAAAAAAAATATTTGCAAAGTAAGTCTGAAATCTGATAAAATGTGGAAAAGTTGAAAGAGTCTGAAAAGTGCGCTGAAGTCTTTAATCTACACAAATGGGTCAACATTGCTGGATAGGAAAAGGATGGAGGAGGAGGAAACAACCAGCACAGATCCAATTAGGGGAGCACTATTGAATATTACTGCGTGACAGTTAAAATTAGTCATGATCAGTCGGGACCACTTGAAGGGATCATAATTATTTCATCTTGGGATTTTTTTATACAGAAATACTGGGAGGACAAGCTTGGACACAGTGATTATTTCTTACTTATTGTTTCACTGAGCGACAAACATGTTGTCTTTGGTTGGATGTTGCCACTGGACAGTACAATTCACAGGCTGCCTTTATGTGACACTTTGCCTCGGTGTAGAATTACCACATTTTGGTTTAAGCCTTGGACTTAAATCGCTCACTTTTCATGCAGTTTCTGCACAAAATAAGGTGTCACACTTGGCCGACTAAATTGCCTGGCTTTTGGGAGAGACAAAAACACATTTTAACAGCCAATTACATTTCCACAAAAGACAATGATCTATTTAAATTAGCTCCATAAAATAATTTTTTTTTCTGCCTGTGACTTCATTTTGTCAGCTTTTTGCAGAGGAACGTCTCTGGAAAATGAAATGCAGTATATGTAATCACTGATGGCAGTGTCTTTTTTATTGTGTGGGTAAACAAAGCATTTAACTGGCCTTCTATGTGCATTACCGTGTTAACATTCTTCTTCTTCTCAATAATTTTGGCTTGCTGTGGATGCTAGGAAGCTTTGGAAAAAAGATAACAGATCAATTTTAATTAACCAGTAGTCTCTTAGAGAGTTTGAGAGTAATGGGAACGCACCAACCGTTGGGAGCCCCCACCCACCCCCTGCCAGCCTAGTTGCTCTGGTAGAAAAAAAATAGACCAACTCCCATGGCTGCAGACAGGAGAAAAGAAAATCTGTGTTACATAATCATATTTACCTAAATAAATAAATAAATAAACTGTACACAGCATTGTGTAACTTGATGAAAGGGTGACCTGTTGTTCTCAGAAACTCAGGACAAGATGATGTCATCACCTTCTTTCCATTGAGATGAAAGAGAAACAGAGAGTTCATTCTTTGTCGAGTTCTCGACAAAAGCGGGTTTACCCTGCGTCTGTGTGAGGTTGTGAGGAAGCGATGGGAATGAAAATGAAGATGAAATGAAATGAAAACACAGATGTACAAGGGGAAATGTTACAATGCTGGCGTAGAGAAGCATGCAGGATTCTCTCTGAAGGAGAGGGCGTTTGTTTGGCTGCCCCACATTCTCCTGAGTCTCTTCATACCTTGATGTGAACGGCACCATCTGTTGAATCTCACAAAATTCCTCACTGTGAGGCTGTTGCTCATAAATGGGCTAAATTACTCAGTTTGAGTAAAGACTGCTGCTCTACAGAATCTCAAACTGCCAGAATGTGGAGCAACAGAACTTAAACAAACTAATAAAAAATGTGTTTTCTGATAAAAGCTGTGTGAATGCATGAGTGCTGAGAAAATTCACTGAAATTTGTTTAAAACATGTTTTTTTTACTTATTATCAAAGTTGAAACAACTAGAAAAGAAGCCAAGATCAGAAAAAAAAGCAATAACTCAATCCTAAAATATTTGAAAGCATAGCTAAAAGCAAAACTGCAGTTTAAAACTCAATGTAACAAATAGCTTAATGCTAATTGTAAGAAAACTAAAAATATCAAAACTGGTGTAAAAAGCTAAAATGGTTTCTAAAATGTAACATTAGTATAGCCTTAACTAAAAGCTTAAATTAGCAAAATTGCACTTTGCTAAAATATAAAATTATTAAACCAAACCATGGCTAAATGCTAAACGTAATAAGCTACAAAGTTTGTAAAAGTAGCAAAACTGTGAAATAAAAGCTACAATTATAAAAATTGTAGCTAAAAGCTAGCAAAACTGTAGCTAAATGCTATAAATGTTGCTAAAAGTGAAATGTAGCAAAATCATAGCTGTCAGAAATAGTTAAAATAGATAAAGAAGTTGAGTCCAAAGATATGTACAGAAGAAACACATGCYGACTCAGCAATCAATAAAATAACCCATTGACCACTTGAGGATCCATGCAGTTACAATAACAGCAAAAGTCAATCCGATATATGATCAGAGGACYTCACCTTTACCAGACAACTTTAAACAGAAATAAGAACGTAGCCTCCTGCGTCTAAACCTGTCTGCTGCTGAAGTCACACTGTGTTTCGCCTTGAGGAGAAATTTAATCAAGCAGTGCAAGAAACATTACCTTCATTAGGAGCAACGTGTCTGCGTTGCCATGTGGCATCTTCGAGAAAGTGAATAAATCAGTGTAAGTGAGGCAAACAGAATCCTTCAGGGTTTCTGTGTCCCCCCTCTGCAGCACATTTAGATGCAGTTTAAATGTCCCTTCCAATCAGTCTCCTTTCAAATGTCCTTTTACGGTGCAAAAACATAGTTTTGCAGCTATTTTTAGAACCAACAGTGGATTTTTGTGTGTGTGTGTGTGTGTGTGTGTGTGTGTGTGTGTGTGTGTGTGTGTGTGTGTGTGTGTGT